CAAGATATAACTTTGCCGTCAAACTTTAGAAGTGAAACTAAATATATAGGAACTAAGTTAGCCATAAAAATCCCAGAACTACAAGAGTTACTAATGGAAAAAGAATTACAGTTAATTCAGAGTATAGATATAGGGACAGATACCAAAGGATTAAAGGACATATTAGATAATAATAATACATTTACCCCTTAGAAAGTCAGGGTTAAGTCTTAAAGAATTTCAGCAGCATGTAGAACAATTACGTACTACAGCTAGTGAACCAAAGTTAGATAAATGGAGATTATCTAACTCAGTAATAATAACCTTATGCTTAGTAGTAATACTAGTAAGCATAATGTTGTATATCAAAAGAGATAAATTGGCTTTATTAAAGTTAATGGCATTAGATGGGCTATGTAAAAATAGAAAAAAGAAAAGATCGAGAGCGGACAATAATGAATTGTCTGAATATTCAGAAGCTACTGAAATAGTGGAACTGAATGAGTAGGCCCCATCTAATCAGGCAATTGCTTGATTATTTAGATGATTACGAAATTATCTAAATTTAACCAATTGGCGGGGGTAGTGAATTTCTAACAGTGATATTAGTCAAAATTATAGGCAAAATTATTAGGCATAGAAAGTTCGAGAAATGACAAAAATAACAGACAGTGACCAGAAACAAGAGACAAACGACGCTTATAACCAGTGGACGAGAATAGACAGTTAGACAATACAACGAAATAAAACTGAACGTGAGGATCGAGACTTCTATTAACAAATACCAGGTGTTAAGAGTGTGTTAGCAAAGTGAAGTGTTGTGAATAGAGTGACTGAAGTGATTTGGTGAACAAATGCGAACAAGAATCAGATGTAGTAGCAAAGTGAATGTGTGACTATGGTGAACAAAGAACAAGTGAAATGACTATGTGTGCTCATACAGAGACAATTTAATAGCATTGAGCTTGAATGAATAATTGTAGGAAACCAGGACAGTGACAGAAAGTGGCGACAGTGGAAGTAGAAGGATTTAGAGTGAATGGATTGTATATCATCAAAGAAATGGTGGTGATGGACTGCAGAACAGGATGGACAGATGTATATTGTTTTAGGCCACCCTATTCAGAGGATTGTCTCAGGATTGTCTTATGGTGCACCCTTTACCTACATGGACTCCATTGGAATGATGGCGATCATTCCACGTCTGATTTCCTACGGGTCTGTCAGGAGATACGACGGGAATACACTACAGGAAGGGAGAAGGCCCAGCTGCTACAACGTCATCTGGAGATACCTTGTTTGGATATGGAGGAATATGGATGTCCCCCTTATTGACAATTGGAGTGCCGTAACCAGGTGATATGTATTTATCATCGATATCCGCACGAACATTGCACAAATATATGTGCTAATCATGTAAGCATGGCTGATAAAGAGAGATGGAGAATGTGAGTTGGAACAAGAATTTTGTTATGAATAACAAAATTTTTCTAAGAAGGGAGGGGTGAAGCAACTGGAAATTTTTGAGGAAATTTCATCAATTGCTTCAATAGTTATGGATAATTAAAAGTATTTTAGACATACTTAAAATAAAAGCTTTAAGAGACTCAAAGTGAGTAAACAAGTTAGGAAGGATATAAAAAAGAAAATGGGGGACAAGGAGATGCCTGTGTTGAGAAATAAGCCTTGAGAAATGAGTAAACAAGAACAAGGTTAGACTTTCAGCAGGAAATAGCACAGCACGTGCACAAGCTGCAGGGGCGAGCCAGGGAGATTAGTGACCCAGGGTCAATAACAGAGTTAGTTAACAACCTAGTTAGTCATCACTATTGCATCATGTCCGGGAAATGAATGCCAATGTACGTGACCATTTAAGGGAATGTTGG